TACAGACACATAACAGAATTATTAACTGGAAATACCCCAACGTAAAATGTTAGTTTGGGTTACAGCAGGGTACCTCCACTTGTTGCCTCTATAGTACAATGTAATGGCAGATTTCACTCGAATAAGGAACATGACCAAATGCATTTAAAGCTTGGCATGTTCTCAGATGCTCATTTCTGCTTTTCATACCAAACATCTTTACTTTCATCTGCCTTGTATATCTACAAACCGCACATGTGGAGGTTGTTGTCACACATAAATAACAAGAAGGTGGAATAACGGAGACCTAAAACGAGAAGTGTTTCTGTTGCCTTGTAAAGGGCGCGCGTGTGTGTCTTTGGTTGACCACAGATGCAGAACTGAGATAAATTGAATATTGCAAACTTGTGTGTGTGCAGGCTGATCTACAACCAGACCACACACACCACCTCTTCCCCACCAGGTGTGGACATCCGCGTCCCTGGGTTCGGGAAGACCTTCTCAGTGGAGTACCTGGATCCAAGCAAACGCAGTGTGGGTGGGTTAAATGGCCACATTTTTAACTGATGTCCTCTCACTGTGACCAGATTTTGTTGCTGATCAAATTTACCCTGATACCATATTTAATGCTTAATGTTTTCTCATGTGTGTGTGTGTTGCAGGAATGTATTTCTTCAGTATAGTGCAGGCACTGGTAGACTGGGGTTACACCAGAGATGATGATGTGAGAGGAGCACCCTATGATTGGAGGAAAGCGCCCAGTAAGCTACCACACTTGAAAAACCAGGCCAGAAGTGGTGCATATTTAAATAAAATAAAAAAAAATCACAAAACTGTAGAGGGTAACAGGTGTATTTCATATATTTACCAGAACTGCTTTGCTCCAGTTCCCCTTTCAAAAGTTGATTCTTCTAGACCAGAAACCTCTTGAGTTTTGGTTTCCAGCAGTTGTGAAGATAATGATGGGGATTAAAATTATTAGTTGTATATTTTCTGCCCTCAAACGGGGTCAAATTTCCTTAAACATCCATGCCCAAAGTGCTTGAAGTGAGCGTGTCATGCAAACCGACGTCCACTGTTTATTTTTGAGCAGGTGTCTTTAAAAAAGATCCCTCATTTCTAACTTTCCTCCATAGACCACTTTGTGGTTGTTGCCCATTGTGATATAAGAACAGGCCAAGCATTCACTTCGGCTCGACTGGCGCTCTCGAATTTCCAAATTGGAAACTGCAGTCTGCCTTCTTATATTCTCAGTCTAACTGTACCAGAATGGAGTGAAGCCACCACCAGCTCATTTGTATTTCAGTCCACAGTCTGTTAGAAACAACGCAGTTCAGGCGTGATGACCTGTGGTATCTTGGACATGTGATATTTCAACTAGCTTATTACACAAGCATTAAAGATCTATATGCAGCCAGCTGTTTTGCAGCAGCACATGAGTGACTCCTCAATATTTGGTTGGCCGGGACTTTCCTTAGTTTTCTAATGAACTAGTCTTATGAGGTGATTGCATAACTCTTGACATGCATCTCTTTACTGGAACAGAAGGACATATAAAGCACAGTAGCCAGTATTTTGAAGAACATGTTCGTGCTATAAAGCAGCTGACACATTTGTCATGCACTGCATTTCTGCTTTCATGCCCTGAGCATAAAAAGGAAGGTTTAAGTCTTCCATGATGGCTTTGTCTCTTGAAAAAGTAGACTTGTGTAGAAATGGATGTGAGAAAATTGATTAAACCGTGAGGGCTGACTGGGTTTTCTTGAGTGTTCTTCTCATACTAAAGATTTGCCATCTAGTTTTATTTGTTTGACAGTCGTGAATGTCATAACGTTTTGTGTGTGTCATCATCTGCTCTCATGTCTTCGTCAGATGAGAATAAAGATTATTTCTTGGCGCTGCAAAAGATGATTGAAGAGATGGTGGAGAAGGCTGGAGAGCCCGTGGTGCTCATCGCGCACAGCATGGGCAACCTGTACACTCTGTACTTCCTCAACCAGCAGCCACAGGCTTGGAAAGATCGGTACATCAAGGCTTTCGTCTCTCTCGGAGCGCCGTGGGCCGGCGTAGTGAAGACTTTACGTGTGGTCATCTCTGGTAAGAGACGAACCAGCATTACAAAAAAAGTACTGATATACATGTTGTTGACTGCCCGGCATAGTCACAAACTCTGTGCCTCGGCACCAGAATACTGTGAACAGAACATTTTTGGATCAGACTTGCTTTAAAAAAAAAAAAAAAAGTCTCATAATTTGCTTATTTGTGCATAAAATTAAAACAGTTAATGCAATGTAGAGAGGTTGTTCAACCAGCTCAGTTTGCCACTAAAGATGAAACATTTACTGATGGGAATATTCAGACATATTAGATATACTTGGCTCTATGTTTAGATATGTTACTGTAACAACTGTCCTGCTAATTGAGCTACAGCTACTAGCCCTGACATTAGCTTCCTCATTCATAGTTAGTTCTATGCAAAATATATCGTATGTATAATTAATGCTGAACTGTAGCATCTTAATCACAATTATCAGACATTTGCTGCTTTAATTGGCCAAAGATTCAGACTGAGAATCTCAGCTGAGCACCAAATTGAGGGCCCTCAAAACTACATCAGCAAAATGTAGTTTGACTGGTTTCTTTCTAATTGCAGACGCAGTCTTCAAATTAAAAATGTGTGGAACATGAAGATGAAAAACATCTTTGCATGCTAATTTAGAAGTTTTTTGCATTTTTGGAAATGCAATGATCAGCTAGAAAAATATTAGTTAAGTCCATCTTTGTGTAATCTTCATACACTAAAACATTTTTTGTCAAATAAATGTCTGGTTTTACAAAGGATATTAGGCTGCAACTGAATTTTACAGGCCAGTGTATTGGTTTATTAATGTCAGACCAAATCTAAAATCCACACCGGAGTTTACAGGAATTTAAAATTCTCTGCGACAGCAGTCTTCCACTTTTTGCTCTCCGCTAGCCTACTCGAGAAATGTTCACCAAACTGAAACTGACAACAAATATTTGAATTAAAATATCTTCTGCAAGAGCATCCTGACCAAGAGACTGAGGACTACGGCATATATCAGGTGTTTGCCAGGACATGCTTCCCTTTTCTAAGTCACCACTCAACGAAAGCTTTAGCTATCTTTCAATTCTCCATCCTTTATTTCTGTTCCACTTTCTAGGTGATAATGACCGCATCCCAGTGATCAGCCCGCTCAGGATTCGCTCCCAGCAACGTTCTGCTGTCTCCACCAACTGGCTGTTTCCCTTTGTCCGCTCCTGGCCCAAAGATAAGGTGTGTGTTTGTTTAAATGGGAATTAATTTTTCCTTCTATGTCAACATAAACTTATTCCTGACACGTTAGAGCAGCCTTACAGCAATGGTTGGTGATGTAGTTTTAGACAGAATCAGAGGTGACCAAATCAAGTGTTTCCACCTCCAGGTCTTTGTCCAGACACCTACCGCCAACTACACTGTGCAGGACTACCATCGCCTCTACTCTGACATCAATTTTGAGGACGGCTGGATGATGCAGCAGGACACAGAATCGCTGGTGGCTGACTTCACACCCCCCGGCGTGCCTGTCCACTGTCTGTACGGTGTAGGCATTTCCACTCCTGAAGCATTTCAGTACTCAGAAAAGTTCCCAGACGTGGAGCCCACAGTGTTGACCGGTGAGGGGGACGGGACGGTGAACCTGTACAGTGCCCTCCAGTGCAAACGCTGGATAGGAAAGCAGAAGCAGCCTGTGACGTTGGTTGAACTTCCACAAAATGAACACGTTGACATGCTGCTCAATGTGACAACTGTGGACTATATTAAGAAAGTGGTGTTTTCTCCATGATGCTGGCTGGCAGGCAGACTGCTCTGTTTGCCTTACACTGACACGCGGAGCAAGACGGGAACTGACGTCTCACCTGTCTGAACAATGATTGCCAAATATTCCCCATTTATGCCACAATGCTCAAGGAAAGTATTACGGTTCTTTAGGACAAATGTAGGTTGATATTTTTTTTTAATTTTTTTTTTTATAGCTGTTACTCTAAAGTCTACATGCAAAGAGTTTAACTCTTTGCATGTAGACTTGCATGTGCTTTAATAAAATGGTTGATGTTTTGATCTTCAATGAGATTTCTGAACTCTGACTGTATTGTGGTCAAATTGTAACTAGTTAAAGCAAATACTGAATTTACAGCCTTTTCATTCCAGCTGATTTTTTTGATTTTTTTTTTTTATATAAATCCTGCCTTTTTTCAAAATTTCATCTTAGCTGTATATCGCTGGTTGTTAGGATTCATGTTACAAAAAGCGCGTGCTGAAGGATTAGACCCATACACATCTGATTTCTAGGTTTCAAAGATGGTTGAATTTGATATCTTCTTGGACTAAAGACTTCTCCTTTCCCTGATTTAAGCCTTCAAACTGTTCCTGAGGGAAGATGACACACTATTGGTCATAAGATGGAGTTTATATCTACCAAATGGAATTTAATGTTTTTAACTGATTAGTGATTTAATTTGTGAAACCTAGGAGTTTTATCAGTGAAACTTATCGATTGGGTCTCATGAGGACAACTTAATTGGCTTACAAAACTCATAAAGTGGCCAAAGCAACATAAAAGCTACCCTAAGGCTCAGATTTGCCAATCAAAAAACTCTTTGTGAGGCTGCATGTAAGGCAGAAAGTCAACTGAAGAATCAGTGCAGTCTAGACACAGGCCCGTAGGACACATGCTGCTCTTGCCATCCTGCTAGTATGGGGTTATCTTATCATTTAAAGGTGGCATTTCTGCTGAATACTAGAAGTATTTCTGGTTTAAACTTTAAATTTATATGTATCAGATCAGTGGGTACCTCAAGGCACTTCACACTGGAAAGTCAGCAGAATAGAAGTCCAATAATCAAACAATCCTTGATGAGCAAGCATTGGATGACAGTGGAGAGGAAGAAATCCCTGTTTAACAGGAAGAAGGCTCCAGGTTAGGTTTGCAAAAGCCATGATTTGGCTTAGAATAAAACTTTTTTTTTTCTTTGGGTCTTACCTTCGTTTACTCAGACAAACACTAGAGGTGTCTCACACACATGCCACTGACTTCATAACTGATTGTTTACATTTGTGGGTTTAAACTTTACTCTGTGCAGACCTATCAAAGGGTCTGTTTTGGGTTTCTCTCAGAGGGTGAGCCCAACCTGGGCTGGCTAGTCAGGGGAAGAGGGGCCCCTTCTGTGTCTGCTACTGAATACACTGAATGCCATCATTTAAAGAGCTAATGCTTTTTTGAAATGCTAAGATGGTTTGTTCAGGGCAACGATTTTAATAAATCCTAAGACTTTTGTATATATCAGGACCGAATGACTCAATAAATTAGTTCTTGACACCAGATTTCATGCTCTGAAGCTTAATTACAGCCACCGGGGGATGACTCAAGACCATGAGATGGGTTTTTCTTTTGTGGATGTGAAAAGTTCAAAATTGGACAGTGTGTTCTGACGTGACTGTATTGTGCCATGCTGCCCCTCACCGGGCCAGACCAAGATGATCTACTTATTCACGTGCTGCCTTCTATTCATTAAATTCTTTCAAATATTTGCAGTGAATCCCTCTTGTATACCTTACTCTAAAGCTCTGTTTTATTTTCTCCATGTATGGCTGTTGTTTAGGAAGATTAGGACTATGTGAATTATATGATCAAGTCAGGCACACACAACATTTGCTCTAACCACAGGAAGCCCCAATATTTCTGTTAACCAGGGGGAGCTAATCAAAAATGTACAAAAACAGGGAACTAAAATAAAAAAAAAGGCTCAACTTTAAGAGAACTTCACTTTGACTTCATTCAATATGTGAAATCTAGATTTTGGCATTTAAACTTCTTGAATATGAGTGAAACCAGTCGCTGAATTCCTTCCACTGTTCTGGTAAAACGTACAGCTGTGACACTTGAGGTTTCTATGCTGACCAAATCCACAACTTCCTTTCAGCGATTCAGTCATGCATATGCCATAATTCTTCAGCGCTCTCACCACTGTCCCATACGTAATGGAAAAATACAAAAGAGGTAACGTCTTTATTTAAATACATAAAACATTTCAATACTTTTAGTTACTTCATGTTTTAGGATTCCAGAGGAAAGCGGAAAGTCTTGTTTCCCGTCCTGCAGCGAAGCTCCGAGCAGTCCAGCCTCAACACAAATGGTCCGTCTTCGTGGTCGTCTACTAGACTCTACAACATATTCAAAAAATAAAACAAATTCAGTTACATCTACTGCAGCTGGGCTAAAGAACCTGTGCTCTAATTTTGTTAAAACAGAGTTTGATAACTCCAAAATGAAGGAAATTCTGGGTCTTCTGAAAGAGGGTTAACTTTATCTTAAATTCAGTCAGTTAAACTCAGGATTCTGTTAACCAAACCTGCTCGCTGTCAGGTTTCCTTCAACCCGAGTTTCTCTGAGCTCCCCTCTCATCAAGCCTGAAGCAGCTGACTAAAGCGTAACACCTTTTCATTAGTATGTTGATATTAAAGCACATACCAGAACAACTTATTTCACACATGACCAAGGACACACAGATCTTTGGACACGTTTGGATTAATTTTCCAAAACTCTAAAACTCTGTGGCATTACGGCAGCTCAAACAATTACAATACATAACTGAAATTTTCCCTGTTTAAATGAAGCATATTTAAAATACAGGATTACACTACAGTATATCCAATTTTATCTTATCAATAAGTAACTGTGAATCCTCCTTTTATCCGAGCTTCACTGATAACTTGTGAAAAGCCAGACTGCTGACCAATCCTTGTTTAGCAGATCCTTTACAGTGAAAGACAACGAGCTGACAATAAAGTAACAAAAATGAAGAGAAACTGATTTTATGTAATTACTGCTTGGCCACTACAGGTTTTCATATCCCTGTCTGGGTATAAAGTGCCATTTCTCACAGACAGGAAATGAAAACTGTATATCAGCACTGATGTGTGACCCACTATTATCATAGTTTTAAGAATAATTCAAAAACATTTCAGTCAGACTGTTGCTTATCTGAGATATACTGAGTTTATTAATCACACCTGGACTCTGCTTGCTATGACAAGCAGACTGGGCCCTTAAAATCAACTAAAGAACTACAAAAAAAATCTAACAAATTAGGAGGAACAAAGAAATCATCTATCCATCCATCCATCCATTCATCCGACCCCTATGGCGCAGGAGGCGCCATAGGGGTCGGGTGCATTGTGTGCCGGGTGGCGGCCAGGAGCGGAGGCCCTGGCGG